TCCTCGCCCCACAGACTGTGAAGGACTTCAAGGGCGGCAAGGTGGAGTTCCGCCTGGACAAGACGGGCAACCTGCACGTGCTGTTTGGCCGCGCCGACTTCGGCGAGTCCGAGCTGCTGGCCAACCTCAAGGCCGTGCAGGTGGGGGCTGGGTGGCGGGGTCGGGACTACAGATGGGGGCAGGTGTCCAGCATCTGAACATCTATCGTGGCGCCAGACATATGTTGGTAGCGTGGCCACACCCTGGCTGCCAGTTGGGCTGCTGGCGCTCCACTTGCCCCTCCAACAAGCTCACCTCGCCCCCGCCTGTCGTGTCGTGCAATGAACAACCGCAGGAGGCGGTGGACTCCAACAAGCCCAGCGGCGCCAAGGGTGTCTACTGGAAGAGCCTGTACGTGAACACCACCATGGGCCCCAGCCTCAAGGTGGCGGTGTCGCAGCTGCAGGCGGTCAAGTCTTCGAGGGAGTGAAACCCCCTTTGCCATCTTTAGTAACCATCCACTTGCTACCGAGCTGCACGCTTGTGAAGAGATGGGCTGGTATGCGACACCATTGTGCGAGCAGTTGTGAAAACAGTATCAGAGCTCAGGTCGCAATGACGTTGAGATGCATGATGCTAATCACCTCGACCTCACAGCTGGCTGACACAAGGGCCGGCGAGCTGTTGCAGCAAGATGCGCGCAAACAAGCACAGGCATCAGAGATGGCCCTAGCATGCTCGGACCAGCTGCGTCTGTGGTGTCACGTAAACACATCTACAAGGCAGTAGCTTCCGCCCAGCTGTGCAGTGCTGCTCGGCACCATTGAGGGTCTCCCTGCCCCTGACTTGCCCTCTTTCCGCACGGGCCAGCGGTAGGCAGTCAACATGGGCGCCTACAAGGTTAGCAAAGGCGCGCCCAGTGCCCAGATCGGTCGTCCACCGGGACGAGAGAGCCAGGGGATGAACGGTAGCAGAAGGTTAAGTTGCATGTCAGGACCTTTCTGATGGCAGCATGACGACGGTGGTGACTCGAGGCCACAGTGTCGGGCCGCCAAGTGCAGCAGGCTGCCTCTTTTACAGCGCTGGTCGACTCAGAATGTGGCAATCAACTGTCGAATCATCTTTACGCACTCGCAGTACATCGAGGAGCTGTGGCGGAGGAAGCAGAGCGATGTGCTCCGCTTTCTCCTCCGCGTGCGGTGCTGGGAGTTCAGGCAGCTGCCCGGCATCGTTCGGCTGAACAGGCCGTCGAGGCCGGACAAGGCCCGCCGCATGGGCTTCAAGGCTAAGCAGGGCTATGTCGTGTACCGCGTGCGCGTGCGTCGCGGCGGCCGCAAGAGGCCCGTGAGCAAGGTGCGTAGGGCTGGTTTGCGACGTATCGTGCCACCATTGCACAGATGGCGGCAGAAACGGTGCGGCGGAGCTGCGAGGGCGCCTCAGCAGCAGCGGTGGCAGCATGGGCTTTGTCGTTGGCAGCAGAAGCAAATGAGGACGTCACCACTTCCAAGCAGTAGCCTCAGGAGCAGAGGCTTCAGCAGCAGCAGCGATGCTGAGCCTACTGCTGGTTTGCGCAGACATAGCGCCATGGGACAGCTGCAGTTGTGACAGCAGGTGCACATTGGCAGCCCGGGCAGTCCAAGCACCGTGCGGGCTTTAATCAAATCATGCCCCTTCCCCACATAACAGGGCATCGTGTACGGCAAGCCCGTGAACCAGGGTATCACGCAGCTCAAGGCCAGCCGCAACCTGCGCAACGTGGCGGAGGAGCGGGCGGGCCGCAGGCTGGGTGGGCTGCGCGTGCTCAACAGCTACTGGGTCAACGAGGTGCGCAAGGGGGGGGGGTAGTCGTGGGGCTTGGCGCCAGGGCGCCAAAGTACCTGGTGGAGTCTGCAGTCACGCCGTGCTGGCTGGCTGGGGCGCAATTGCGCCGCTGATGCCATGGCAGACGAGCAGCGCGTCTGATTGGTGCGCAGCAGCGGCAAGACATCAGCGGCAAGAGAGCAGCCACCAGAACAGGCTGCACTTTGCCAACGCCAGCGGCGGCTGATCAGCAAAGGCACCGCCGCAGCTTTCCTGGCGCCTGCACATCGCATCAGCAGACCTCACAACGCCAGGAAACCGGTCTGTTGATGGCAGCCGCCCCTGCAGCATCACAGACAAGCGGCCTCAAAGCCAGCACGTGTGCCGAGGCGCCCCCCTCAATAACTGCGCCTTGTTTGCGACCCCACCCCACCCCAGGACTCTGCCTACAAGTACTTTGAGGTCATCCTGGTGGACCCCAACCACAACGCCATCCGCAACGTGAGGCGCTCTCCGCAGGGCTGCTTGCGACTGGCTTCATGGGGTGGATGCAAGGGCGGAATTAACTCGCACCTGCGCCATTTGACACCCGGCGCTTGAGTCCACCACCAACTCATTTTGGCCGAACTAATCCGGCCCCTCCTCTGCCATTCCCCCAGGACGCGCGCATCAACTGGATCGTCAACCC